TCGGTTCAGTTTTTCATCGTGCGAAAGTTTTTACTTCTCTTTCTGGGTTGGAACTTCCGTTTCTGTTCACTTTGAAGGTGGAACTGTGGTGTCGTGGTTATCCCGACTGGTTTTACGATTATGCATTGATCAATTTTTCTAGGAAGTTTGCAAAGATCTGGGATCACTGGGTGCCTTTTCTAAGTGATAACTCAAATAATGTAGTAGAGGTTTTACTCTCATAACATTACTACATCACTAAACCAGCATGTAGTACCCGAGGGAGCTACATGCTACAAACCATCTACCTGAACTGCTCAGTCTGAATGAAGGCGTACGCCTTCAGCTTCTTATATCTCTTCGAACTCTACTTGCTCTACTGCTGCTTTTCCCCGCCTGATCTATCCTTGCAGACTCAGTCGTCCGCTCATTCAAAGACAAAAAATATAGGAAAAGTTTATCGAAAATTTCCTTTACTTTGGCAGGGCTAACGTAGTACTGCATACGCTGCCTTCTAGCTGTCGTGCGTATGAACCCAGACCGGTATCCAGACCACGTTTATACGCTACAAAAAATATGAAAAACATCGGAAAAAAAACATGGGCTACGCCCGGATCATAATGCATTCAAACAAACTTCAAATGAATAGTACCATCATCTTTGGATAATACTGATTATCGAGAGGTTCAACGTGTGCTCGGGACTAAATTCGAGGCGGGCGTCAACGTCAGTCTTCTTGTCTTCAAGTGTCCGGAACGATTCTTGAAATCTCCCTGTACCCCGGGCTTGGATTTTTGTAACCAATCCCAGTTGTACCATCGATGCATATCCCACATTTTTTACCGTATCCCCCATCTCCTTCATTCTGGGTCCCAGTCGTCATAGCACCCACCCACTTTCTTCGATAACTCAGGCCATATTGTCCCTCCCACCCTTCCCACCATGATTTCCAAAACTTTCAGAAAAACCCGACTGGGGAACCCTGCTCCTTTCAATTCCCGGTGATACGTGATGAGTGTTAGCGGGAGCAACATGTCGTTGTTGGTATTTGCCTGAATCATGTACAAGGTCCCAATGATAGTAACAATTTTTTGTTCCATCGGAGCAAAGGGCTGGAAGTGTCTGGTAATCATGTATCTGGGTTCGCTTTTGGATCTTTCCAAATGCTCATGACATTTTTGAACTTGTGCATAGTTATTATTTCTGTTGGTTCTTCCAGAACAAAAAATCTTCATTTGCAGAAATTCGACCACGTTCTCATTTCCATCAGTTCTTTCGAGACACAGTTCTGGATGATAACACCCGGAGATCTGGTCCATGATTCGTTCGACTCTCCCTTTTTCTTTCGCTTCTTTTTTGTTGTATAGTACTAGCTGTACCATACTCATCCTCAACTTTTTCCACCTCATATCCCTTCCCAGGGATCGAGGGACCAAATTGAGGAGGCCTGTCTGGAAATGCATCAGCTGGGACAAACGGCAACAACTTGGATGCATGAAAGCCAGGGTAGGTTCGTAGATGCAGTGGGACATCCACGTGATAAGATGGCCCAAAAGGGTCAGCTCCCACCGTATCCAAAACCTGCCATGGACCCATGTAACGCGGCAACAGCTTGGGCGAAATGTCCTCCTCCCGCTATAGCTCATAACTGAGTACCCATACCTAGTCACCTGCGCAGATGGGGGATGGTCGACGATGCTTGTTAGCCTGTTGGATCATAGCCTTTCGGGCTTTGAGCAGGTTAACTTTGGCTCGTTCGATATCCCTCTCGTATTGTCTGGTGAACGCTACAGTCCCAAGAGTCATTCTGGGGGTAGCCTTATCGATGATGTCATTGAGAGGCTGTCGTGGCTCACGTCCCCAGTGCAACCGATAAGGGGTAAACCCTGTGGAGAAGTGTACATATGTGTTGTACACTAGTTGTGCCCGTCCTAGATGGAGATCCCAACCCTGCTGATCAGGGCTGATCACATGACGCAGCAACTGGAAAAGAATCTGGTTCATCACTTTAGCCTGCCCATTGGCTTTAGCCTTTAGGATGACGACCAGATGTCATATCCAGTCTGGAATGAAGGTAGTCCTTGCAATAGGACTGCCACTCATTGCTGCAGAAACACGGATCTCTATCGCTGACCATGGAGGTGGGTGGTCCATGATGAGTAACCCACCTATCTACAAAGGCCGCCTGCACGGCCGGGACTCTGGCTTCCTCTGGCAAAGGAAAAACTTTGGGTACTTGGAGAACCTGTCCACACACACCATGACCTGATGCATACCGCGAGGAGTGATCCTCCCAGGTCAGTGAAATCAATAGCCACTGACTGTGCTGGTGCATCATGGATGGGAAGTGGCCGTAGCAGGCCAAGGGGAGGTCGGCGAACGACCTTGTTCCTTTGGCACAACTCACAGGTTTGAACATAGTGCAGCAGGTCTTTCCTCATCTCCGACCAGAAGAACCGCTGCGACAGGGCCGTCAACGATTTCAAGGCCCCAAAGTGGCCGCGAGCATCATGACACTCAGACATAATGAGTGTTTTCAGTTGGCGGTCCTGAGGGATGCACAGACGTTCCTCCCCTCTGCCGCAAGTGTACAGCAGATTTGAAACCAGGATGTATCCTGGTTCAGAGGCAGGATCAGTCTGCAGATTCCTGACAATCGGGCAAAAAATCGGGTCCTGCGGCAATAACTGGGCAATGGTCTGACAGGTTCTCTCCCCAAAAGTATGAGTAGAGGAGACCAGGCAGAGAGCGTCAGGCCTACGAGAAAGGGCGTCTGCTACACGATTGTAGCAACCCTTCTTGTGTTTCAGTTCAAAGTCAAACAGATCAATGAACTGAATATAGCGCGCAAACTTGTCATTAATTTCCCATTGGGTCTTCATCCACTATATGGTGGAATGATCTGAATAGATCAGGAAGTGTTTGCCCATGAGGAAATGCTTCCAATGCTTTAGCGCTGACACTAGAGCATATAGCTCTTTCTCGTACGTGGAATCATGCAGCTTCTTTACTTTGATCTTCTTACTCATATACTCAACAAGTTGCAGACCATGCCCACCATCTTGTTGAAGTAGTGCCCCAACCCCATACTGGCTAGCATCTGTAGTTATTACAAAAGGCAGGGTAGGGTCAGGTAACTTTAGAACAGGTGCACGCATCAAGGCCTCCTTGAGGCGTGTAAAAGCCTGCTAACAGTCTAATATCCAAAGAAAGTGGGTGTTTTTTTTGTGAGATCAGTCAGGGGTGCAACAATAGCTGAAAAGGTCTTAACGAACTCTTTGTAGTATGATGCAAAGCCCAAGAATGACCGGACATCACGCACAGTGGTAGGTTGTTGTCAGTTCTGAATCGCAGCAACCTTGGTTGCTTGAGGAGCTAGCCCTTCCCCAGAGATTACATGTCCCAGATAAGTCACAGAAGTCACTCCAAAGGAGGATTTTTCCCTGTTCATCTTATACTGGGTCTCATGTAGTGCCTGGAGAACCAAAGCCAGATGCTGTGCATGCTCCTCGACAGATCGACTGAATACCAGGATATCATCCAGGTATACAACTACAAATCTGTCCAGGTAAGGCCTGAGTATGCGATGCATCTCTGTCTGGAATGTGCCAGGGGCATTGCAAAGACCGAAAGGCGTGACCAGGTACTCATAGGTGCCGTATCTGGTCTTGAAGGCTGTCTTGTGGAAATCGCCTTCAACCATCTCAATCTGATGATAGCCAGATTTGAGGTCAATCTTGCTAAAGATTGTGCAACCCTGCACCATATCCAGCAGATCATCAATCCTAGGAAGGGGCTCTGTAGACTTCCTAGTGATCTTATTRAGACCTYTGTAGTCGAYGCACGTCCTGAATTATCCATTTCCCTTGGGAACAAAGAGAACTRGAGCCCCAAATTCAGATGTGCTGGGTCTAATCCARCTCTTGTTGGTCAGGGTCTCAAGCTGTCTCCTGAGCTCATCGAGTTCAGCAGGTGACATCCTGTAGATACGGCCCTTGGGAGGGACCGCACCTGGCAGGATCTGAATCCTGTGCTGGGTCTTCCTATGGACAAGTCCAGTAGTCTCCTGCATCAAGTCTGGAAACTGGTCCAAAACCTGTTGAATCGGTGGGGGACAAGGAGCAGCATCCACACCAGTCTGTTTCACATTGCGACAAACATACATTTGTGGGCAGTGTGGCAAGAGAGATGGAAAAATTCATGTGCTCTCATACAATAGCAATTGTTGACTGGATGGTACTCATCTGCCAACACACAAGGCTGATAGTCCCCTCTACAGTCAGGGAGCTCTACCCTGGGGATCTGCCAGTCGATCCTAGAGTTAGTTGCCTCTAGCCACTGCATAGAGAACACAATATCAAAAGGCACATTAGGGAAAATATAGAAGTTCAGGCGTTGCCTGACCTTCTCTTGCTTGTCAAAGATAACAGGTAGGTTCTTGACAGCAGAGGTAATCCGGACTGTGGAAGAGTCCCCAATACGGACTACCAGTGGCTGCTGCAACTTCACCAATCTCCCATCCAAGTGCAGCTTGTTGACAGCCTTGGGAGAGATGAAGTTGCGCGTAGCCCCACAGTCTAAACAACCTTTGATCCTGGCTCCTAGAATGGAGGGTTGCAGCAAGATGAGGTCTGATTTATGCTTTTTCTTTTTCTGCAAAGACAGGAAAAAATCAGCAAAAGTCTGACTGTCATCTTTCTGTCGCGTCTCATCCAGGTCAGGGTCCACGTAAGTGAAGGATCCTGACTCAGCAACTCCACAAGAGTCAGTGAGGGTAGATGCAGATTCAGACTCCTCAGAATCTGAATCAGCACAAGTGGAGGGAGCTGCTAACTCCACTTCCTTCTGCTGGTCTAGTTTTTTTAACTAGAACCAGGTTCGCGAGGCATATGGGGACAGTCTTTCAAGAAGTGGTCCCCCTCGCAACGGAAACAAACCTCGCGTTCCTTCCTTTTCTGCCATTGCCCTTCCTGGATCCTGAGCGCTCTCCAGGGAAGGGTGGAAGGATCCATGAAGTTGACTCGCAAATGGACGTCTCGTGGTAGGTTAGCTCTCTGGGCCTAAGGGGAAAAGGCACGTCCCTTCTCTTTCCCCTTCTGGCTGGCTGAGCCCTTGCTGCTGTTGTTGCCCGTCTTTCCCTTAAAGATGGCAGCAAGGTTCTCAACCAGGGCAAGAACGGCTGGCTCAACTGCTGATGCTGATGCAGTCTCAGATGGAGGACTGCCACGCTGAGATGCATCAGAATCATAACATGCATCAACAACCAATAGAGCACCCTTCTTCCTGCGTTGTCCTTTGGAAGAGGGTCTCCTCCTTCCTTCAGAAGGTTCCTAAACCTTGAGCCGAGACTCCAGGTCCAGGGCCGCTTTGCCAAAGGACCTCCATTCCTTGTGGCCCTGAGAGTAGAGAGCAATGAAGTAGTCTGGAGGCGCTGCGCGCAGAAAGTGAGTGAGCTGGTCAGACTCACTCATCTCCAGACAGGGTGTAGCAGTTAAGCTCTCAAACAAACTATAGAGCTTGGACAGGGAACCTTCAAATCTGCGTGAGCCCAGCAACAGTATCTTATCTGCTGCTTTTCGGGTTTGTTTCCTGTTTGCAAACCAGTCCCGCAGGGCCTGCAGCAACCCCTCCACCTTCAGCTATTGTGCCCGTTTGTCCATGGACAGATTCTGTTTCGTTGCAGAGATGGTGCACCACTTGAGTGCACTCCTCCCCAGACGACCCAGAATGGTCCCTACCTTTGTCACCTCTGGACATACAAAGCTGCCCAGGTACGCCTGCATAGCGGTGACCCAGTCTGATACATCCACCTTGGGGTCTTTCCCAGAATACATTGGAGGTGGTGTTTGCTTGGGTTGCCGCTGATCGGATGTGCCAGAGGGAACAGAGGTAGCGGACACATAGGAACCAGCAGGTGAAGCTGGACGACTGTGGGATGGTGAAACGGATGTTGGGGCAGGTTGAAGAGGTTGGGGAGAAGGTACATGAAGTTGCAAATGTTGCAGAATCTTATTGACACTTGTTGTCAGGGAATCAAGGCTTGCTGTCAACTTATCGACCTTGCGGTCGATGGCAGAGCAATGATATTCTACAGCGAGAATCCGTTGATCCCAGTTAGAAAAGTAAGACCTGTTGAGGGTGTCTGTTAACAGCACCAACTGAGCAGTATCCTTACTATACTGATTGGAGGTACCACTGGTAACAACTTTCTCAACCTCCTTACGTAGCTGTCTCCTCCTCTCCTTCTTCCTACTAGCCTCCTCAGCTTCCTTCATCTCCTTCTTCAGCTGCTGGACATGGGCCTCTGCCTTTCTGCGGTTTTCCTCCGCTTCAAGCAGGGCCTGTTCTAGGGGGGAGAGAGGAAGTGGGGAGGGTGAACAAAAGGTTCTCCTTCCTCAACCTTTGTCTCAGCGTCAGCCATAATGAACCACACACACAGTCAAATAAATATAGACAGACAGATACAAGTTCTGCAGAGATTAAGATTACACTCACAACCACTGATGTAATCACTGCCACCTAATGAGAAGAGATGTGGTGAATTAGGCAGAGGAGCGCTCAACCTCTGTAGGTCGTTGAGGGCTATTCTGGGTCAGTTTAGGGTAATTCCAGATAAAACCAGCTTGTGATTTTTCATTCACAGCCCAGAACCCTCATCTGAGTGCAATAACCCCACAATCGTTGTCAGATAGTTAGACCGAATGCAACCTTGGACTGTAAGTAGAAGGTCAGAATAACGCAGAGAGTCAGTAGCGATGAACAGAACCCAGTAGTCAACCAAGATGCAGCGAATGACTGATCAAGCTACTTTCAGACTCCTACTACTGACACTGGCACTGTAGGACCCTTTATGCCCCACTATAGGTGAGGCGAAGTACAAATATCACTGTACTTGACTCAAATCATCAAACCCAGTAGTGCGCTTTCAGACACTAACTTAATGTTGAATTGAGATTTCAGGGTGACTGACAAACTGAAATTCTAACGGACAGAACCTAAGATATGACAAACCCTAGCTGCCTCAAGCACTGGCTATGGCAACGCAACATTCAAAATTTCATTATCACTGACATACAGACCCTGAACTACTCAATTCACTATATGGATTGAATCACAATACTGTAGTACAGTCAGAGATACAATTTGAGACAGAGAGGAGGTCAAACAGAGTCAGTAGAAGTCAAAGTAGATAGGTAGGGGAAATAGCTATGGTTGTCATGCAGTGCAACTTTCAAGTTTCACTGTCTACAGGCATATAGTTTCGATTTTCCCAGTCTAATCACAACTATCAGACTCGCTACAGGGACTTGAGAGTAAGGAACACACTTACTTCAGGTCGAAACACTGGAAGAAGAAGATGGACTGGCTATGACTGTCATCCCGCCAGTTTCTTCAATTCACTGTTTCTTGTGCTCCCACGTTCCCAATCTCCTGAAACTTGGTGATACTGTAGTTCTTGATATGACGATTAATCCCCACTAATCAGATTCACTGTATCTGGTCCAGAATCTTAAACTCGACATACCCCCAGGTATCTCGCCACCAGCAGAGTCAACGTCTGGCTAAAAATAGCCCCCCAGCCACTGAGCACTGAATCGCCACCAATCTCTGTGTGATACTAGCCGCCACACACAACTCACCAATACCCTACTGAGCGTAGTATTGAAGACGCGATTCCACAATGAAACCCAACGTCAGAAGCTCTCAGGTAGTGATGGCTGCCTCAGTCCATCATCTCGCCACTGTCTAGGTCCGATCTGCTTCGATACCAATTGTTATGAACATGATTGTCCATTGAAATTTTAGCAACGCTCACTCACAGGAACTCCCGTACACGCCCATACATGCACAGAAGGAAGGGGAGAGGTAGTGGAGGGTCACACCGCCTAGAAAAGAAAAACGCAGCGGAAGACTCATAAAAGCGAAGTGACAGAATACACAATTCACTGAATTCTCTCCACAGAAGTCCCAACAATCATTCATAGAAGACAATCGAGTGATCACAGCCAGAAATCGATGAAGAGATGACAACTCAAACACAATATTACAACTGTTTATTAAACTCAAAGCATCGTTTTCCCTGAATAACCTCAGATCCCTGTTGCGCTACCCTCAGAGGGGTAGCGCCTCAACCCCACACCCGCCGATGAACTAAAAATAGCACCAGACCCCAACGTAACACCCATCGCCACCCTTACATCCAACTCAGTGGCCTGCGCCAAGATGAAACAGGCTCCCAGATCCAATTGCCACCCAGATGATGAAGAAGAAGCTCAGCGCCAACAGTCCCTGATGAAGATGAAGTCCAGACGATGATATCCTCTGAGAAGATGCAGCTATGGCTGCATCGCTACTGAGATCCTACTCTTGAGGAGGGTCAACAGTGCACCACGTGCTCCAACGCATCAGACCTCTGATAGCCCAGACCGCTTTGACTCCCAGAGAGTCAGAGCGGACAGCGTTGACCCCAGTCTGGTCAGTGCTCCGTAGGTCTGGCTATGTCCGCCGTCTCCAACACCGGAATCAGCAACCACGACCTGATACCGTGTGCGCAACAACTTCCACCACGAAGTATCAACTGCCAAATGCCCAGGACCGATGTCCCCATCCTATCTATACCATAGACTAGCCTAGACACGACCTAGACCGGACTGACTGACCGACCGGTACCGTTTTTGTTTCGGCCTCTAGGGCCTCTCCCTACCCGACTATAGGCTATAGGACCGTCTATCAGCGTAGGCCCAATGGGGCCTGTCTGTCTTAGGGGTAGCCCTGGTCTGCTATTCGCAGTTAGGGTAACTGTAGGAAATTCAAGTTAGTACTGGGCCCATATCTCCTATATTTACAAATATGTCCCTCATGAATTTTCCTTACAGGTAGTTCTCTCGTTTAGCCCTCAGCCAAACAAAATTACGAATTTGTCCCTACCTATGGGACAACCTCGTCTAAGAGAGGCTATAGGCAACCTGGAACCAGCAAGTCATTGCACTGTAATGCACCCAGTCATAGTGCTTGCCAGGTGCATCCGAAATTTTATACGTCTCTGTTGTCTCGTTCACATCCACGTTGGAATGGAAAGGAAGCTTCAGCTAGAATATGGAAAGATACACCACCATATTCGTCGTCGTAGGCTGGAACAGAGATCAATTTCTCATCAATGGAGCTGTGGAAACGAATCTGAATCTGGAACACGGCAATATACACAACAACGGTCCGCTCACCTATTGAGGAAGCAAGAATGAATCTACAGCAAAAAGGGGGGGAAGATACACCGTCATATCCCTTGTCTTCTGTGCATGCGGACCTGGCCAGTCTAGGCCATATAGAAAACGAAACGGGCCTTTATTAGCTATCTCGTACACGAATGTGGCCACGACTCGATCCTGGTTCATGCGCCGTTATGCTCCGATTAGAGCACTTTTCCGTCCACTTATGATGCTGAGTGCGCATGTGCGTGCGGGAGCTCCCCCATGGAGATTACCTATCTGATTGGAACGCCGCTTGCCCGCGATTTGCGGTTTTGGGCGCGACTTTTGTTCTCGATCAATTGCGCCTCTCAACACGTGATTGCCAATCAGGATGATGTCCCAAGTCGTGTGTGTTTTCTGTTCGTAAAGCTGGCGCAGCGATAACCTTCCTCTTCACACCAGCAATTGTGATGTGGGCGAGCGCGCTGTCTGTCTTAATCGGACATTTATTGGTCCTCCCTCCTTGTGCTCCTGTGTTCGTAGAGTAGGTTCTCCGTACGTAGTCTCCGTCGTGCATATCTTCCCTGGAAATTTGTGCCTCTAAGTGGCTACACGGGCTCTCGTGCGTCTGTTGAGTTGCTGATAGAGCTTTCGGCGTTTTCTCTCTCATCCACCCCGATCTGCAGTCTTCATTCCTGGGCACGGTGTAGATCTTCTCCACTTAGTAGGGCTCTCCACGCTCTCTCTCCCTCTCAGTCGAGCACTCTTCTTTCTGCTAATGCTCTCGCCCGCATGCATTGGCACTCTTGTGGCACACTCTTTCTTGGTCCGCGCATTGTCAAGTCTGCACGCGTTCTTGTCATGCACACACCTTGGACTAGTGCGTCGTTCTCTCTCTCTCTCTTTACTAGCCTGTCGCCCTCAAATCTCCCCACATTCTTAGTTGCCCGCTCATAGTTCTCTCTCTGCTTCTTCGCGCCAGTTCCCCGCGTGCACCTCTCTCTGTCAGCGCGCAGCTCACCCCGCAGCTTCTCTCTGCCAGCGCGCACTTCGCGCTCGCGCAGTATCGGTGCTTGTGCTTTATGTTTGTGTGTGGGTTCTCCCCAACTCATGCAAGCTCTCCCTAATCGTGTGCATCCCAGCCCTTGAGTACTTAATTAGCGTGAGCTTGATTAGCTTGGTTGCTTCACTCTCTTTACGTACCTTGGGATAAGTGCACGCACAGATCTGGGATTCTGTTCAGGTTCACCCTCTAAAAAAAAACAAATGTTTGGGCGTGCACTCCCTATCTTCGTCTTGCCTCCCATCCGTACAATAAATAGACCCCTCCATTGATTGAGTTCTTCGTGCGTGAAGGGATCGTGCCTCCTTGACACAAGATGTGCCTGTTCACCCCTCTTACGTTTACCACTCTCCCCTTCGCGAACTGGTGCACCTAGGGACCAACCCTTCCTGTCCTTGCTGCCACGTCCCCTGTGATTAGAGTTCATGTGCTGCTTCATGTCCCCTCGTGCGTCCATCGGCCTCAAGAAGGCGCTTGCCGATCGGCTTCTTGAGCACGAGGATCGTGCACCTTCGGTGCGCAAATGTACCCGTTCTATGGTCCGTACGCAGCCGCAGGGGCGTTCCAAACGCCTTCAAACCCGAGTACACCTATGCCTCCATAAGCTAGCCCTCCGTGGCTAGCCAGTGCGCCAGTTCTCCCCGTGCGCCAGCCCAGTGTGTCTTTCTTGTGCGCATCCCCGAAGTGTCCCCCAATTCAAGCCCAGTTGGGCTTATATAGTTTGCTGGGCCCGGCTTCACATGCCTCAGATGTGGCCTCAACCTCCCAAGTGTCGGGCGCCGTCGGGAAACTTGCAGCGCCCCGGTACCGATCCTCCTCCCGAACCTAGGCCCGGGCCTATTTGGGCCCCCGAAAGGTTTTCTTGCGAAGAGGGCCCTTTTGTCGGGTACCGGGCCTTTTGCAGCGCCCTGTGCAAGGAACATGAATGTGGACGAAGCACAAAAATCCTGATTGTAAAATCACACTGAAGTCCAAGTAGTCAAAGCAAGAGGAGATAGCACAATGGAACCGAGTAACTATCCATTTGAGAACAATACAGAAGAATCGTGAGTCAATGTCCAAGCCCAATTGGGCAACACCAACAGCATAACCCAATGTAGCTCTCTCTCTTGAATGGCGCCAGGCGCCCTACCTACTCTACAGCCTATCACTACAACTACAGCAATGAAAGCAACCAGACAACTTGACGACCAGCGAGTGATGATGTCAACACCAATGCCGGCCTCCTCTCCACAGGGTACGTCCCACTCTTCACCCTCACTCTCCCTTGTTATCCCACACAACGCCCTTCACTTCCGAAGAACCACCTTCGCCCTTCACCTCCTCTGCGCCCACAGGCAGCCCGGCTATGGCCGCCAGTGCCCTGCGCCCAGGCAGCGCTCTACCGCTAGCGCTTGCCTGCCTCTGCTCAGCCTAACGCAGCGCAGCACCTCGCATTCGCGCAGCGTGCCGGCATTGCCCGCAATGGCCAAGATCCCTGCCCACTCGCCCTCCCTGCCTATATGCCAGTGTTGCGTGTGGGCGGCCTCCCTTGAGCCTGTGCCTGGGCCCCAGTACCTGCACCCAGGCCCAATGCGGTTGGGGCCCATGCAGTACAGTTTTGCCTCTTTCATCCAGGCCTGCATCCAGATTCAGATAGTGGACCGGTATCCCATTGGCATTTTCGGCCTCTATTTCCAGTATGCAATGTCGGCCTCATGTTTATGTGCCCAGGGCCTAACCAACTCTGGGGCCCTAGGATTTCTGCATTTGCAGAGCTCCGATACTCGGTGCCTCCAACCAAGTGGCGTGCTGCAACTGTATGGACCCCACTTCGTGAAATGTTTGCACAGGGGGCTCTTGTTGATTTGCTGGCCCGCCTTTACTTAGGGCGGGCACGAGGCTTGTTGGGGCCTTAGCCTAGAACATGTTCATCACGGCAAGGCCCCTTCTCGAGGGCTCAATTCTCACATTCCATCCCCCTTAGCTTCGAAACTCCGCTGAGATGCTAACTTCGCAGGTACCTTTCCTTTCAACATTCTTTCATACTCTGCCACCACTTGAGGAGTTGTGGCAATCAGTTCCTCTCTGGTGAACCACCGATCTTCTCTTGGATCCGTATGATGCCTGAATCTGACGCGATATTCTCTCTTGGATTTAGGAGGTCGTCCTCTACCCAGTGGCTTTGGAACAGGCAGGTCTCTGTGATCCACAATGTCGTCGATGTCCACTTGATCATCCATGGTTGGGGGCAGCATCGATCTCCTTGAAGGGAATTGATCTGTCTTAGCGAAAGGTGCAAGCTTTGAGGCATGAAAGACAGGGTGAGTGCGTAGGTGACCAGGGATGCGGAAAACATAGGTAGGACCATCCATCTCATCCCCAACTATATCCAGGACTTCCCATGGACCAAAGTACTGAGGCATTAGTTTGCAAGAGATCCCGAATTCCTGTCCTAGCTCACTAGCCTTGACCCAGACACGTTTCCCTACCTGAAATGAGGACTGCCGACGGTGTTTGTTCTCAGAAGCAATCATTGTTTGCTGAAATTTCCTGATGTGCTCGACAACTTGCTGCAACAACTTCTCATATTGCACACCATACTCAAGTGTGCCCGGAGTTGCAGAGGATCGGTTTTCAGGTAGGAGGAAGTCTAGAGCTGATCTAGACTTCCATCCCAAGTGCAGCTGATTAGGACTGACGCCGGTACTGCTGTGTACAGCATTGTTGTACAGGTTGGCGATGAGTGGCAACTTCTCATCCCAGTCATCCTGGTTGGGCTTCATGTAATGCCTCAGCAAGTGTTGTACAACTCGGTTCATCTGCTCGGCTTGTCCATTGGCTTCGGGGTGATTCCCTGAAGTCATTTGAAGTTGACTGCCCATCTGCTCAGCAGTCTTCTTCCACAGCTCACTTGTGAATCGGACATCTCTATCACTAACGATTGACTTTGGTAGTCCAAAGTCACGCACCCAGTTGTACATAAACAACTTGATGACGTCGTCAGTCCTTGTGGTCTCTGGCATGACAACTAGTCTAGCGTACTTGGTGAATCGATCGATGATGACGAAGATGTGCCTCTTGCCACTYTTACTGGTCACCAGGGTGTCCATGAAATCCATGGAAACACTCTGTCCTGGACCAGCAGGGATAGGTAAGGGCTTCAGCAACCCAAGCGGTGCTTGAGTTCGCGGCTTGTCCCGCTGACAGACCTGACAGGTCTCTACATACTTCTTTGCATCATCTAACATTCCAGGCCACCAAAATCGTTGTACTAGATTAACACTCGTCTTTTTGTAGCCGAAGTGTCCAGTTGCGTCGTGACATTCCCCTAGAAATAAACTACGCAAACTCTCACTTGATGAAACTACTAACCTTTTACACCGAGCCTTATCAAGAAAGAGTAACCCATCCGCCATCACAAACTCACTTTCTGTGGCCTTGTCTTTTGCCTGAAGTTTGTGTACGATGTCCATCATGATAGGGTCTTCCTGATAGGCTTCCACCAACGATTGAGTTACTTTCAAAGATATATCAAACTCATAAACTAGCGCCCCTAGGTAGTCTGCTCTACTGGACAACGCATCTGCAACCTTGTTGTATTCTCCCTTCAGATACTCTAGCTTGAAGTCATATTGATCTATGACCTCAATCCATCGCTTGAGTGCATCAGAGAGAGCCGGTTGAGTCTTGATCCATTTGAGGGTCAGATGGTCGGTTCTCAAGTAGAAAGACCATCCCAACAGGAAATGCCTCCAATGGACAAGGGCTTTGTAAAGAGCATAGAGTTCCCTTTCGTAGGTGGACTTTGCCAATTTCTTTGATGGCATTTTCTTGCTCATGTACTCAATCGGTCTCAACTTCTTCCTATCCTGCTGAGCCAGCACTACGCCAATGCCGTATTGGCTTGCGTCAGTGGTTACAATGAAAGGCTTCTGAGGATCGGGCACCATGAGGACCTCATGATTCATGAGTGCATGCTTCCATCGTTTGAAATCAGCCTCGCACTCATCACTCCAGTCCCACGGCGTGTCAAGTCGAGTTAGATCTGTCAAAGGAGAGGCGACTGTGGAATAATTTTTCACAAAGTTTCTATAATAGCCGCACATTCCTAAGAAAGATCTGACCTCAGTAACTGTCTGAGGTCGTGGCCAGTCCCTTATACTAGCCACCTTCGCATCTTCCGGCCTAATCCCTTCCGCGGATACTTCATGACCCAAGTATAAGATCTTAGTGCGTCCGAACTCACATTTCTCTAAGTTGACCTTATACTTGTGCTGTCGCAAGAGTGAAAGTACAGTCTCAACATGTTTTGCATGCTCTTCGACAGACTTACTAAAGATAAGAATATCGTCCAAGTAGACAACGACAAACTTATCTAAGTGGTCATGAAAGATCCTATTCATAGCGTGCTGGAATGTACCCGGCGCGTTACAAAGTCCGAAAGGCATCACAACAAACTCATAAAGACCATATCTGGTCAGAAATGCAGTCTTGTGCTGATCCTCAGGTCTTATTGCGATCTGATGATAGCCGGATTTTAAATCTATCTTGCTATAGTACTTGCATCCCTGCACCCTATCCAATAGGTCGTCTATGCGAGGTAGAGGCTCCGTGTTCTTCACTGTGATGGCATTGAGGCCTCTATAGTCAATGCACATCCTCAATGTACCCCCCTTCTTTGGTACAAATAGTACTGGCGATCCATAGGGGGAGGTACTCGGCCGGATCCATCCCTTCTCTGTCAGCTCTTTCAGTTGTCGCCGAAGTTCATCCAACTTGGCCGGAGCCATCCTATAGATCCTTCCCTTTGGGGTTTTACTCCCTGGAATGATTTCTATGGCGTGGACAACCTCCCTTTCTACGACTCCTGTAGGCTCCGTGAACAAATCAGGGAACTTAGCAACGGCGTGTTTTATCTCTGGGGGTGTTTTAACGGCCGCCCCTTTCTTAGAGACATATATTAGGTACATACCCTCCTCTTGGTTCTGTTTGTAATAATTATAGAACGTTGATGCACACAAGCAGCCATTGGTAGTCTATTATGCTACTGGCTTTGAACTTAGTCAATCTGACTGTTCTGCCATCAGGCAACTTATGTTTTAGCACCTTCTTGTCCCAGTCAAACTGGGGTTTGGCAACCTCAAGGTAGTACATGCCTAACAACATGTCGAATGACAAGTCGTCGCTAACCAGGAACGAAATCTTATGATTAAGTTTCCCTCCTCCATAGGAGAAGGTGCAGACTACATCCTTGATATTGTCTGTGACAATCATGCGCTCCTTATTGGCCAAAGTAGATGCTACGGGTCTACTAAGATGTTGTACCAGGTCTTGTAGGCGCAGCCTTTCCAAACAGTCGCGACGTATATAGTTCCGCGTGGAGGCGATGCCTATGAAGGCACCACATTTGCGGCCTCTTACATCAACTTCCACTACGAAATGTTCCCCTCTATAACCTTTCCTTAGTGCCACCCAAGATTCGCGAGGGTCCTTGCTTGACCACTCACTTTCTAAATCATCTAAGGCTTCAGACACATCCAACGTACAGAGCATAGTTTGGTCTGGATGAGTCTGCGGGGTGACTAAAAAGTCATTAGCTATGGCCATCTCATGAAGTGGGGTGGGTATCTGGCCCACTTCACCATGAGTAGAAGCAGCTAAAACTTCCACCGGCCTCACGTGTTTCCCCACCGGCTAAAACTGAGTACAGGCCTGGGAAGAAGGTGCCTCCATCTTAGGAGGTATCTTCTACGTTACCTTTGCGTTCTTGCACTTGTACTGGGTGTGTCCGTATTCACCACAGTTAATGCAAGCACCACGCACTCTTCGGTCCCGCCACACTTCCTGATCAAGACCTGCCTTGACCCAATCAGCAACTTTGGTCTGATTGGAGGCGGCCTGCCCTTAACTCTCTTGATGGTCCTTCCCTCGGCCACCTGCCTTAGTCTTAACGACTGCGGCGAGGGTGCTACCCTCAGCGATCTCCTCGCCGTTGTACTATGAAACGTCCAACAAGTCGGTGAGCTCGTTAATCTCTATTTGAGTCCCATCGGACTCAACCATCATCAATTTAGCCCCCTTTTTTTTCCATTCCTGTGGACTCTTCTTCTTCTTCGCGTCTACTGAAGAAGGTTGAGCACTTCCTAGAGTAGCCTCTAAATCTAAGGTGTTTCTAGACAAGGTCTCAAATGAGTGATACTCAAGGCGGGCCTCGCTGGCCAGCAACTTTCTGAGATTCTCTGGGAGATATCTCACAAACGTGGTCAACAAGAATTGGTCATCGTAGTTTATACCGGGGACAACGATGAGGCTCTCTACGATAGTCGTAAGCTCCCTGACTGACTTGAACTTTCTTTGGTCTAGTCTATTTATCGCATCAGTGGCAATTTGTGCCTGCTGTAGATTGTGCCAACGAGCTTCTACCATTTCTAAGAATTGGTCTAAGGTAATGGTCTTAGCCCAGTCCGTCATGCGTCGTCCGTACCCGGCCTTTGAAACTAAACCATCCAGCTATTTGGCTACCTTACCCTCCAGGTAAGATGCAACAGTAATCACCTCCTCTTCCTGCAAAGTCCTCTTCGCCTTTACCCATACCGGAACCGTTCTCAACCATGTGTTGAGTTTCTCATCCTTCTTCTCTCCTAAGAAGGCAAGAGGCGGTTTCATAGGGGTCTTAGGGTACCATTGACCTTAAGACTGTCCCTGTTGAGGAACAGGTTGTTGCGGTGGTTGTGTAGCTATCACCGCTGGACCCAAAGAAGAAGAAGCAACAGTCTGTGCGGCTGCTGCTGACGTACCACCTGGTTGTGCGCCAGCTTGTACATGGAAGGGGCCTGACATCGCCGTTAACGACAATGGCGACTGTGCTGCTGGCCAATATCCTGGCCTCTGCAAAAGATCCAAGATCTACTCTAGAGAGTTGTGCATAAAGTCCAATCTGCTGTCCACGTGCGCATGCAACGACAGCATATTGTTTTTCAATACTTTCAGTTGGTCAGACATTGCTGACTCATCCAAACCCTCTAACGCAGCCTTGTCTGCCTCTAACGTATCAAGCCTGGCTGTTCTATTTTTGATCTCTCTTTCTCTATCGGTTGCCTGCTTCATTTCCCTCTCTAACCGCTAGCGGATCCTTTTGACCTGTTGGAGCTCTAATAGCTCCCTGCCGCGTGGGGTCAACGGGTTTAACTGCGAGCCCGCCATTTGACTGATAGACTGACCAGAACTCATCGAACCGGAAGTACCTGTGGGCCCAAGGGGCATTCCCAAATGGGTCGCAGACGAGGACGCAGACGAGGATGCAGCAGAGCCTGCACCATTAGTCATTACTGCTGCTCTGGCAGTTGTTGCCTGCTCCATAGCTGCTTCGTTTGCTGCTGTCAACACTGCTGCAAGAGCACGGTGTCGGGACTGGTGAGTCCCGAATGACTTCCCGTCACTCGAGAGACTGTATATGGCCAATTTGTGCACGACAGAGAAAACCGGAGGCAGGAATGCTGGAAAGATCGGAAGCATGGGCACATATAGTAAGAGGCTAGAGGCTGCCCGGAGTCGTCAGGACCGCCAAACTAGAAAAAGGAATTATCAAAGTAGGAGGCAGCGAAGGACTGTGACAGAATAGCAAGGGCGACACTCTCCCCAAGGACGGAGGAGGGCCGCCGGGAAGTTGGTAACAACGTAAGAGGTGCGCAACGAGGGAAGGGACAAAGTCGGAAGGGACAGGGCGCAAGGCGCTGGCGTGACATGACGGCAAGGGGGCGAAGGAGACCGTAGGACAGGCAGGAACCAGCACCCGGAGCGGAACAGCGCGCGGGGCGCGACAGGAGCAGGGAGCGGAGATCGCCGTAAGGTGGAACGACGTCAGGAGCACCGAAGGAAGACATGGTATAAGCGGGACAAAGTGCCTGGGACCACCAGGACTAAGAAGAAGTGCGGTGCCGGCAGGACTAGGTGCCAGGGACCACGCAGGACCAAGAAAAGGCGTGGTATCAGCAGAGCGAAGTACCAGGAATCGCGTAAGACCAAGGGAAGGACGAAGCGCGGGCGGACCAAAGTGCCAGGAACCACGTGGGCCTAGGCAGGATGGCAGCGCCAGCGGAACCGCTAGCAGGGTAGGTATCGATGGGATAAAAGCGTAAGGAGCCGTGGACGGGGGCCGAAGGTCGAGACCGTCAGCAGGATAGTTGGCAACCGGCCGAGAGAGAGACACGCGCGAGCGGGTCATCACCCGAGGTGACGCCGGACGAAGGGGAGGGACAAGAAGCAGTAGGAAAGGAGGGGAGGTCAGGCGCTGATAGAAATTGTCAACAAAGTGAGGGAGACGGGCATGTGACGGGAAAAACAGAGAACACCTGGGGCAGCCCAAGGGGGGGGCCCTAGATCAGATGCAACGACAACGATAAAAATAAAATAACATAACATCAGGTGGAAGGGACCTTCCGGGCCAGGGGTCCGGATGAAAAGGATAAGTGTCGCCGCGGCAAGCGCCGGCAGGAGGTGCCGAGACGAAAAAGAGGAGGATATAGTAGTAATGAGGGGGCCGACCAGCAGTCCGGGTTATTCCGAACCAGCCAGGCCAAGAAAAACGAAGTACCAAGGGCTCCACGTGGAGAAAAAGTTGGCCGGAGAAAATCGGAGCAAGGGGGTATCGAAACTGGAGGCGGCGACAGCAAAAAGGAGCCCCTTGAACCTTGGGGGTGCCATTACTGCAGTCCGGGGTGTAACGGCCATATGCCGGCTGCAAAATCAGACCTTGGGAAAGGTCCAACAGCCAGAAAGAGAAAAAATAGCTGTTGGACACTTGTCCCTACAGTAATGAGAGAAAAAGGGGAGGGAAAAGGGGGAGAATGAGACAAAGGAGGAGGAAGGAGTGGAGGAAAAAGTGCCGCCAGGTTGGGACTGCAGCAGTAGGGATGGGCAGGTCTCAATGATGACCTCATCCCTCCTAGATCCTAGGAGTGCAGTCCGGATTGCAAAGATAAGGCCCTTGGGGCATTATCTCTGCAATATCTGAATTAAAACAACAAAAATAAGGAAAAATGCTGATGTAAGTTGGCCAGCTCATTTTTGGGCCTTAGATCTGAGATCTGATCTTGCGGAGGAGGAAATCTAGCCGTTTTTTGTGGGCTGACACAAAACGGCTAGCTCCGGAATGAGTTGGCAGCAAATTGGAGGAAAAACAAGAGGAGGAACAAGACAAAACTGCGAATTTGGCCCAAGATTTGGGCCAGGTAGATCAAAAAAATTGAAAATTGAAACAAAGGCTCAAATTTGGGGCAAGGGGAGCTTGGGAGTGGCTCGAAATGATGAGGACCATGGATCTCAGCCAAATCCAAGGCTGAGATTGGAGCCGCCACTTGGAAAATGCAACGGCCTACTCAAAAGAGGCCTAGACTAAGAAAAAGATGAAAAATGGRCCTCTAGRCCCTCAATTCTCAGTGAAGGCTGCATTTTGGGGATGGGTACCCCAYAAGGCAGCACTTTTTGAAGTAAGAAGAGGCCGGGGTAGGCCAACGGGTRGTCCGAGGAGGTACCGGCCTCTCGGACTGCATGTACCTCGCCAAAATGAGGCCCAGGTACCTCCTGGTAGGCCAAAACCGAAAATTTGGCCTTTGGGGTACCTCCCGCCACCTAGAGGCACTTAGAGGAGCCTAGAGGTTGGGCGGTGCACCTGTTCCAGCCTATATAAGCTRGAGGTGTAGGCCGCCACTCTCATTTGAGCATGAGAGGTGCCCATGCTGCCCAAATGAGTCCTGGAGAGAGTCCAAGTGGGAGAGAAGCAAGGGAGTGAGGGCCAAAGCTAGCCTGTAGCCTGACTATGGTGGTAGGACTAAGGAAGGAGATCTAGAGGCTGGGAGGGAGCA